TACAGAAGATCGCAGTGTAGATTGTAGGATAAGAAGGAAATATAATGCTAACTAAAGAACAACTCAGCGATCTAGAAAATTAAGAAGATGAACTAAAAATTGTGTACTTAAAGTACGTAGGCAGAATATTACCAGATGCATACATTGTGTCGAAGTAACTAGTGCTATAATGAAGATAATTTGTGTTTGTAGACAAGACGTCAAGAAAGGAGAAGCAAATACAATAGTGACATCTTACAACCGAAATTTCACGGGACGTAATGATGCAAACCCAGCGACTCATGCTTTTGTTACTTCACCAGAGGTGAGGAATACTCAGTTACAGCGTACAACAAAGCTATTTTAGCTATTTAATTTTTTTATTGTAGATAGATAGATAGATAGATAGATACTTTATTAGGCACAGAATCCATAAAGCTAAGTCACTTATTTACAATTAAGCTGTGCATCTAAGATATTAAAAACGTACACACACAAATATATATATATATATTAATACAATATCTGGAGGAGATGCTTTAGCTGGCTGTATAGTGCACAATACATAAAGTAGAGCGTAAATAGAAATAGTAAAATCAACAACGAAACAAAGTTTCCGTGACTCGTAGTTTCATGCTTTCGCAATCATCAGACGGTGATTGGCTGTTGTGTACAGAACTTGAAATATTTCTTTATTAATTTATCTCGTTGTTAACAGATGGTGACAGCAATGTCTATTGCTGGTGACTTGAGTTTTAACCCTGAAACTGACACTTTAACAGGCACAAACGGTGAGGCTTACATGTACTTGAGATTTATGTGAAGCAATTTGTTGCACAATGTATGAAAAAGATTAAATAAAGTCTACCAAGTAAAGCTGATTTAGTTCGTCATGTTTTGTTTTTCCAGGTGAATCGTTTAAACTTGAAAGTCCCTATGGTGATGAACTACCCAACAAGGTAATCATCTCTTCGAACTAGTAAAACAGCAGCATAGTGTTAACTTATTTTTCTGTTTCAGTACCAAAGGTTACTAGAATGAAGATATATCCTCTAATGCGTAATCTTTTCAGAGATAGTGTGTGATAAGCGGCAATAGAAGACAGCTCGCCGAAAGAATAGAATATCCATGTTTCACTTTTTGCTTCTTAATATTTTACCTCAATGGAAAAAATTTCCTCCTTTCTACAAGAAGGAAGTCGACTGGCATTAGCATAAGTTTACAACCCTTAAGGTTACAGCTTTTACTAAAATGATTGGTTTCCTCTTCAGGGTTTTGATCCTGGTGAGGATACATACCAGGTAATAGACTTTCGTTGTTGACTTCGATGCAATTGTGGGTAGCTAGAGTGAGTGTCGAAGGTAATCCGTGATTGTATTGCTTTTATGTTACCGTGCTTTGTGATTGGTCCAGAAAATTCGTGCCACCCTTTCAGCCAATCAGATGCAAAACCGAACGCGACTTAGTCTTCCGCGTTTTTCCTTGTTACAGAGAAGTTTACTTGTTTTTACTTTGAGTTCTCACCACCTAGAACTGTACGAGAAGCATGGTAGACAATAAAGAGAGTTCATATTTAGATCCTGGAATCTAGAAGGGAGAAAATGATCGAAAACTACTCCCTGTTTTTTCGCAGGCCCCTCCAGCTGATGGTTCATCTGTTACCGTAGACGTTGATCCTCAAAGGTGAGGCTTTTCGAGATTGCCGACGACAAAAATTCGGATTCATTTTGGCTCATGAAAAGTCCGAAAACTCAAGTAGGTCTGTATTGTCTTCCCTCACAGCAAACGCCTTCAACTTCTATCTCCTTTTGACAAGTGGAACAAGAAAGACCTCGAAGACTTGACGATTTTGCTCAAGGTTGGTACATTTTATCGAATCCACTACGTTTTGTCGGATTGGAATTAGACTTCCCTGTTTTCCGGAAGTCTGTTGCGCGATTCTTACTAAAAAAAAAATGGTGTAAATGCGTCGCGTGGAACTCTGGGAATGAGGCGCAAGAAATATAGGGGGCCACAAAACATCGCCAGAATTCAATTTGAGTTTTGCTGGTGTAATAGTAATATTTGCAGTTATGACACACTGCCCACTTACAAAGCCATTCAATGAGTTATGTGTTGATAAGGAGTTTTGCTTGTGATGATATTTACTACTTTTGGATTGATGTTTTGTTGTCAGGTGAAGGGCAAGTGTACAACAGACCACATCAGGTAAAGAAATATTAATTTAAGGGGTCTTTGTCAAAGTTCTCCCTGACTTTTGACTAAACGCGAGACTGTACGGAAACCAGGGTTCATAACTGGCCTTGTGGTGCATTTTGCTGAGAGCCAATTATTATCAACATGGAGCACTAAGACTTTAGCCCATATGTGACAACTTTGAAATGGAAAAAATACTGGTCCTTTAAAATAACTACGCTTCGAGCGCAAGTGAGGTACTCAACTTTTTCAGACGCTGCAACAATTCGCCTGATGAAGGGCTCCTGCTCGAAACGTCAGCTTGAAAAACTCTTTACGGTGGCCAATTTGCATGAACAAGTCAGTAAATAAAACCAAATTATCTTTTGGAATCCTCGCCGACGCAGCAACACAGTTTCTTTTAGGGACTTGCCCCCATTATTCATTTCCCAACTGAACGTTGTCTCTTGAATGGTGAACAAGACCGTCGTTAGAATCTTTCGATTAATTATTTTTTTCCGGTCGTCTATATTTTGGGTGTAGGTTTTATTTTCTCTGTAATTTAACTTGGTGGGCTCATGTCAATGTACTGCTCGGAAAACAAACTATGTGGAAACGCAGGAGCTTGTAAATAACAATAGAAGATAACACTTAAGCTGTTCGAGGTAAAAAGTTACCGAATGGGTTGGAAATATTACTATGTAAATTAAAAGTCTTTTGGTATGATAAAGTGCCGCAGGTCCATGGCTCAAGTATAGAGGACACCTGGATAATATTTCAAACAACATGTTTATTGGGTAAGTACAGATAATAGAATGCAGCTACATCATGATAGACTTCGAGCAGTCCTTCAATTTGGGATAAGTCCGTCGCGTGAGAAAAAAAAAAACAATGAAAAACTAAATGATGTTAGCGCGCCGCGAAGAGCTTTGGGAATGAGGCGCCTTCTTTTCGAACGCTTCACTTCCACAGTACCTGCTGCGCATACTCGTTATTTTTTTCCTTTTATTTATTTATTTATTTATTTTTGTTTTTCACTGATTATTTCTTACTCGCTCGACGGACTATCATAGCTAAAAAGAATGAGCATTGATTTTTTAAGTTTATCCTTTGGAATTTGGTCAATGCTCTCCATCCTTAACATATTTGTTTGGTTTTCGGTCTTGCTTAAGTTGTAACTTTTACATCTCGCGTTTTCTCACAGAGCCATCAACAGTGAGAATGACAAGGCTAACCATGTGAAGAATCTACTGACTGGAGAGTATGGAGCCGTGCCCGACACCGCAAGGGACTACAAGGTAAAAAATAGCCAAAAATGATACAATTTCCTTTTCTAATGTTGGAAACGGGGAATACCTAACTGAACACGCAGAGGGCATTCATTCTTTCATTGTCTTTGAGTCGTAAAATTATTATGCTGGAGGGAGATCTTCAAAGTTTTTAGAAGAGTCCCCAAAAAGTTGTAGAATGTCTTTGTGTGGTTGGATCTGGTTTTTTTCTTCACCCGTTACGTCTCAACTCGTGAATGATGATGATTTCCGAATGCATTGCCGTGTAAATGGTAGTACTTTGCAAATACATGAGGGGTTGTTAAATTTGAAAAGTAAATATAGCCGGGCAATTGATCTCGCAACGGTCAACACCGGTTTCCCATCTATCGGAAAATCGGAAACGCGGCATTTTGTTTTTAGGCAGGGGACTGTAGACAGTGCCTGCTCAGTCTGCGCAGTCGCAGACTGGTTTGTATGCATGTGAATGCACAGCGTGAATCGCAGCGACAATAACCGTGGAGAACCGTGACTGGTTTGTCGTGACGATTAGTCACCAAGTGTATTCTGGCCTTTATATCTCTTTGTCCCCGTTCTGTAACGACTCTATAAACACTTTCTTTTGTAGTCCAAAGGAGTAAAATGGGTTGTAGTTGGAGATGAAAACTATGGTGAAGGAAGCAGCAGGGAACATGCTGCCCTGGAACCAAGGCATCTTGGCGGACGAGCCATTATAGTCAAAAGCTTTGCTCGTATCCACGGTGTGTAGTTGTGTGTTGTTGTCGTTATGTTGTTAGTCTTAGGAGACTTAATCCATCACCGTGGTAACGTACAGACGCTTACCCTAATAGATCTATCTTGATGCGTCTTTGTATAGTATCCGTAAAGAAAATCAGCATTGGGCATATGTCCGGCCATTGGTATTTTATACCAAATGGTACAGGCAGAATCGTCTGAGCTTTAGCTCCCTACTGAAGCAATCGTTTCATTGTGCTAAGCAACTGATTCACGTTGTTCTCTTTCAGAAACAAATTTGAAGAAACAGGGTAAGATTTTGAAACTTCATCTTCAAACGACATTCAAATTAAAAGTGTTAAAAGTGTCCTTGCACTTCCTTGAGTACAAACAGAGAAAATAGGAGGGAAAATTGAAGACATGAAAAATAGAATTGATATCCGTGTCTTGCAAGCCGGTGTTATAAGTGTTTAAATTCCAAATGTGCTTCATTTGTGTCTGCTGGACTGGTAAAACCTTTTCCGGTTTATTAATCATTCTTTCTAGTAGACGTTCATCACATATAACTTAATTAAACTAGAGATGTACTCCCTTCTATCTAGTCAAATGTCAATTCCTACTTTCTTGTAGTCGGACTTATTCTAATTATTTACCGGTAGTTGCCATTCAACTTCTCTTTAGTAGTTACATTTGCTTCTTTTTGAAACGTGTTAAACAGAAAATCGTGATAGGTAGTTCCAAGAAATTTCACTCATTTTTAACCGCAATAATCTGTCCCTTCAAAACACAGTAATAGCAAGAGAATATCAGTTGATAGTCTCTTGGCAATAACCAATCGTAAAATTTTCGTGCTCTTCAGAATACAACAATCATTTGTAATGCAATGCGCGGAAAAGCAATAAAGAGCATTTAAGGCCTTTTTGATGCACCATAGAGACGTTACTAACCTGTTGTCTACTATATATCCTTTTTTCCTGACAGGTTACACTACCTGACTCAGCTCTAACATCTCCCTTGTTTTTTTGTTTCGTTTTGTTTTGTTTCATTTTTTATTTTTCTGGACAGGACTTCTCCCCTTGACGTTTGCAAATCCGTCAGATTATGACAAAGTTCAGCCTGATGACAAGATATCTTTGCTTGGTTTGAATGACCTTGCACCTGGCAAGGTAAATTAAGTAGATTACCTCCATGCGTTTAGTTGTCTCCGATGAGCTTTTTTACCAACAACAGCGTTCCCTTTCATACCCAATAATTCTTATTCACGAGTGTTTGCTTACTAAAGTCACCTTTCCGACGGTTTTTCCTCACTTTGCTCTGGAGGAAATTTCTCGACATATCTATCATAGAACGAAAGCGTTTTGTGAATTTCAAACAATAGAAATGGTAAACGCTTTCTGGCGAGCTCTAGCCTTGAAAAAAAGCACTACATTTTATTTATCTTGTGCGCACGAGTCAAACGCGCAGTTAATCCAGCGAACTAAGGATGTACGCGGAAACGCAGATGAATGAAAACAACCTCAAAAAGGAAATAAATCACCTTTTAACAGGTCACTTTGTGTAACGTTCAAAACTTCCCTTAAACCGAAGAAAAAGTGAAAAAGAATTGGCTCGGTCTGGTTGAAAAAATGCTCGAAAGTCGTATTGAACGAACATGGATAATTAAAGATAGAAAAGATTACCATGGGTTACAAATTGACCTACATATCTCCCCCTTTTTCTTACACTCTACAGCCTGTGAAGACTGTGCTGAAACACACGAATGGAAGTCAAGATGAGATCCTGTTGAATCACACCATGAATCAGTCACAGATTGAGTGGTTTCGAGCCGGCTCGGCACTCAATAGGATGGCCGAAGTGTCTGCGGCAAAGTAGGCTCCGGGGAAAATGCACTCCTGACTCACTAATCGTAAGATCATCAGCCTTGTTTTGCAGCGCTTAAGCGCGGAAATTATTGAATGCAGTGACTGAGAAAAAAAAGATCAAGATCCTTTAGCGAGAGTGATGTTAAAAAAATTTTAGTGTTGTTTTTGGTTTTCAATGTAAAGCCAAAATGTAGTCAAAATCTTGGCTATTTTTCTGAATGATGTATTTAATGGACATTTTTTTAAGCTCATTTGCTAGCTCGTCCTTAACAGAACTATCTCATTCCATTTAGAGATTGAAGACGGTTGATTAAAATCAGATATTAAAGAAAGAAACTTTTTGACGTTTGTCATGTTGTGCTTTTAATGTTCCTGAGGTTATTTGAATCTCTTTTGCGTTCTGTGATAGAATATACAGCCCCGATCTGGAATTCTCACTTATGCAAGGATATGGTTTTGTTGGAAAAAGTCTAAGAGCTTCTCCTCTTTCCCTTTGCCAAAACCCGGGTATGATAATCTTTGAAGACCACTCGAAGGAACTTAACTGACCTACCTTGGTACCACTCAGACTGTACCCTTCCCTGTTCTGATACTACAAAATGGTATTTGTTAACCTTGTAATAATTTCGAGGCTGGCGTAAGTCAATTTATACGGTAAAACCTATTTTTTGCTCGGACACAGCCCAGTTTTGGCCGGACGTATACTCATGGCGTCTTGAATATCTCGTTAAATTCTCCCCCACCCCCTCCCGCCCTATTTACCCTAAAACAAAATATGGTCCTTTTAAAAAACTAAATATTCCGAAATATGAACATTTTACACGTTAGATTAATGAAACTTATTCATTCCTTGCGTGTTTGTTGTGTTTTTTGGCGATTTCTGCTATTTTGGGCTTGCTTTGCCATCACTGTACGTTTTTCCTGTCATCAGACGAAGTTGAAGGCTGCACACTACGATTTCGACCGTTGTCCAGGCGGAGGCGGTTTGCGCCCAGAAAATCAATCTATTCGGCAATTTTTTTTTTTTTTTT